CAATCAGAAACACTCAGAGGTTCTGTTGACAGTAAGTTGGCTTGACAACTGTTTGACTGCAACATCGGAGAGCAGGTGATTTTTAAAAAATTATCCTGAGCACTGCATTCACTTACATTAATTTTTAAATGCAAAGACACATTCTGTGTAAATAGCCTTGGCAATTACATCTCATAATTTATCACAAAAGTAAAAACTAACCACTAAATAGCTTCCTACTCAAGTTTTAATTCCGGTAGTGTTTCAGGTGGATCAACTTGTTCTTTTAACATTTAATCATTGGACAACTGATGAAGCTGCAACAAAAATCTGATGTTGTTTTCTTTATTCTCCGAAGTGGTGGAACAATCACAACAGGGCCACCTGACCAATCAGAGCAGAGTAGAAGTAAAAGAGTAAAAAGTAAATTGCATTTATTTGAGATGTACACCTAGGAGACCAACAGAACAATTTAAAATAGCATAACAGGCACTTTCAGACATGGCTGAAAATGTTTAAAAGCACAGTTCAATATACATTCAACATCTGTGCAAACATTTACTGTGCTTTGAATGGAATGAATTGAAATTTATAAATAAGATGTCTCGAGCTGTGAAGTGCAGCAGTAGCTTCAAAAAAAGTTAATCTGTGGAGAAGTTTAATCTTAAAGCAGAGTGTTAATCGCAGGAGAACTCTTAATCTTGTAAGAAGAGTTAATCTGGTGAGCTGTGTTCAGCGTGTGGGAAATGCTCTTGGAGAGGTGTTAACCTCCGAGAAGTGCTAATCTTTGGATGAATATTTTCGTTTTCTAAATGTGTTCATCTCAATAGGACTGTTTACATTACTGGGTCATTTCATGTCTGAAATGGGGTTATGACAGAATGCTGAGAGAATTATAAATTCCTCGTAATTTGTTTTATTGCTTGTGACAGGTAATTTGATATTCATAAAAGGATTCTGAATATTTTGAACAATGAGAACAAAAGGTTGGATTTGACATTCTGAGTGAAAAGATCAGGAAGAAGAATTGGAGTTTGAGACATATAGAAATATTGGATTGGGTTAGCTTTTTCAGTGCATTGATGCTAATAATATTTAAATAGCCTAAGGACAACATTCTGCACATTTTATTGAACTCTTTTTTTATGTTTTTATGCTTCTTGTACCAGTGATGGTTAAAAGAGCATGAGCAGCATACATACAGAATTAATGGCATTAGTTGGCTGGATGCTGCACTAAATTTTTAGTCTTTCTCTGTAAGTGATAAAGATGTTAAGCTGGTTGTTGACTTTGAGTTTATGATTTACCAATGACCACAGTTTCAGCTAAAAATATTAATTAATGATGTAATGAAGAAAAGTTCCCAACATCTTAAATTATGTGAGTAAATAAAAACACATAATAAATAAAAACAATTCTAGTAAATTATCTCTTTAAATTGTTTTAAAAATCCAAAATAAGACAACCTTGAATTTATAGTTTATGAAATCAGCCCCTGTAAAAAGTGTGCTCAATTGTATTATTTGTGCATTTGTAGTATATATATATATATATATTATAATGTGTTTTTACTGTTTTACTGTCATTTTATATGTATTAATATATTTTTTTCTGACCATTTCCTACAGTTTTTATAAAAAAATAATTTTGATACCTTGACTAGCATACAAATAATAATTAATTTTTTGTAACTGTAGCTTTTTTTATATTATTACCTGTGCTAAATGCATATTATGCGCATACAGACTGTAACCGGGAAATATGTCTGTTTTGCTTTGCGGTTGTTCTAAAAGTTTTTAAAATGTCTATAAATGTGCCTATATAGTATTATTATGAGACATATTTAAATAAGTGTATCACTCGCGCACACAGTCTGCTTACCTTAAACAGACGACAGAAATGAGGCGTGAGGAGAAACAAGTCCATCAAGTTCCATCATTATGGACACAGAGCAACATTCAATATTCATTTTTTGTCACGAAGTACAGCGAAAAGCAGCCCATACTGTCACATCTGCTGAACATTTTATGGAGGAGTGTACATACTGCAGTTAAATGTGTTCAGATGATGAAAAAAAGACGAGAAATCACTTGATCACGTTAAAATGACAGTTAACATGCATGTATTTTTACACATTTATTCACACGTTTGCATTACTGAGAGCAGGAAAGAAACAGGCTGCTGCACTGGTGAGCAGTATCTTCATATTATCGTTTAATTAAAATAAATGATCAACAAATTAGTCTGTCTCGACACCCTTTATAAGTGGAATTATAAAGAATTATCTGCACACAATCTGTATTCTCAATTAGAATAATACAACAAACTATAAAATACTATTCATGAAAATACCTAAATCACAGACAAATCCAAACGTCCATCACAAGCGTGCTGCGCTCCAGACCAGATTAGCTCGATGACGTATATTGTCCCCGACGCCGCCTGTAGTCCCATTTAGCAACTTGATAGCAACCGTCTTTTTAAAGAAGCATAATCGATTTAAAAATTGAATAGTGTGCTGTAACTGATGTGTTTAATGTCGTAGAACAAATCATGAAAGTATCTTGAGTTGGTGTTAGCCACGGACCTTATTTAAACAATTTTACTGAAACCCTATTCAAAAAACCCATTGACTTTGGGACGAGGGAACCGGAAGTGCTAAAATGCTAACTCGCTTCCGGGTTTTTGCATACAAATTGACGTCATAGTTCCTCCACTCTATTAAATTGGAAAAGATTAGACTATCACTTACTGGTTCTTTAAAGACCTTTGACAAGTTGTGGTGCCCCTTTTTAGATTATCTACTGGCAAACTCTCTTGATTCTTAAACTGAGCAATAATATATGAATAAACACATATTTGTTATTTATTTTCATCTTATTTATTTATTTTTATATATTTATTTATTTATTTTTACTTTTTTAATATTATTATTATTTTTTTTTTCTTAATGGAAAGTTAGTAGCTTTTGAGGGAGAGAAATGTTCAATCGGGGTTGGGGTAGTGTAAACATTAACGTGGAAGGATAATTATAAAATGACTGTTATGGTTGATATTTCATGTAAAAACCTGATCAAAGAAATTTGAAATAAAAAAAAATATATATATAGCATTTGACAAAAGAGAGCTTCTAGAATCTCCACCAAGTTAATGCTGGATTTAGCTAAAAACTTCCTCAAAGGACCAGCTCCAAAAAGCAGGAGCAAGCAGAAGCTATGGACTGTAGCAAGGATGTAAATGGGAAATGCTGTTTGGCACCACTAACATTTTAGCTACATCATATTTATCAGAAAATTGCTTCAGCAGCACTGCAGTGTCTCTCTATGCAGCCACTTTCCCTGCGTTCTACAACTCAGATAATGAACTCGTAAAAGATATGTGAACGTTTCATATTACTTACACACAGGAGCGGACTTAAACAATAAGCAAGGTAAGCAACCGCTTAGGGCCTCAGTCTACAGACTGTTTACACACACACACACACACACACACACACAAAATGGTGATTCTCACTTAAAAGGAGCCACACCCTACTTTCAATTGTTACAGACACTTTTCAGATTTTATTTAAGAGATCAGGCATGAGGTTCATCCTTTTCATTATCTGTCTGATTAAGGCTCAGACACTGCTAACAGCTACTCTGATTGACACCATTTATACAGCAGAATCAAAGCACATGGTTGTGGAGACATGACGCTTCACTGGTGACATGGAGCCGATCTTTTAATCACAGCACATTATGTTAGCTGACCAACCAGAGCCTCTTGAGGGCGAGTCTGGCGGTAGGAACTATGACATTGGTTTTCATGTTTGCTGAGTAGCTGTATATAATCAAGGTAAGATTTATGAAAAAATATAGTTTTTTTTTTTTTTTTTTTTTTTTTTACAAATGAAGCATGAGCACACATTGCTTTGCATCTTATAAACACAACCAAGCCTCAAAATTACACTCTGGACCGCCCCTTTAAAGTCACCAAGAACTGAAAGCTGTGATTGCTTTTTTTTTGTGTGTTTTTTTTTATTATGACGCAGTTCCTAGAGAAATGAAATATTAAATGAGAAAGCAGAGGACAAACAATTTTTCTTTTTCTTAATGACGTGCACAGATGAATTGTTTACCACAAAACTGGCAATGTGAGCTAATAAAATCTTATGGTTTTGATCTCTTTGGGACTTTAAACAACTGAAACTATCATGTTTATTGATATATTTGCAGGATATGATTGTTATTTGTGGCAACAATGTAGACTATTGAGTATTGTGTTTAAAGCATGTTTAAGAATAATGTCTTATAAATAAGTTCTTACTGCAATTTTTCTTTAATGAAATAATAGCAATACATACAATAATAGCAATCTCTGTCGGTCTCATTTGTTTAGTTTAATTATAATTTAGACACTCCCCAACTCCGTAACAATATGAATATATTTGACGTATAAAAAAAGCAATTATATTTAATTTCAATAAAAATTACATTAATGTTGGTTTTGGTTCATTCATCACTATATTTTAACCACGTTTCATAAATACTGGAATTAGTTTTTTAAATGTATGGATAGTACTTGGGGGTTGAAAAAAAAAACACTCTAAAACAGCCATAGGCAAACTTGGTCCTGCAGGGCCAGTGTCCAGTAGTGGTGTGCTTCAACAATAACCAAACAAGCCTGAACATGCTAATTGTTGTGTTCAAGATCTCTAGAAATAGGCAGGTGTGTTTGATAATGGTAGAAGCTAAACTCCACTGGTCACAGGCCATCCAGGGCTGAGTTTTCCCATCCCTGCTCTAAATTAAAATAAACAATTCCGAGTAAGTAATTTGTCAGTTATATTGAAATATGAATATCTATATCTGCAGTAAACTAGCAGATGATTTTGCAAACTAGTATAATACAACATGAAGGCATTAGTTAACACAACATCAAAAAGTTACTGTAGTTTATACACTTGTATTGAGTTAATACACACTACACATTTTAAAATCGGCATGCTACATTTTGTAAGAGAGCTCATTTCCACTCACCTGGAGTTACTTAGGTCATTCTGACCTCCACGGCTCTTCTCCAGACCCAGTTTGGTGAAGATGCCCACCAGGACCATGATGGCCACCACACCACAGATAATGTATACAATCATATGAGTTCGATCCCGCTCGTGGTCTGGCTGCACCTCAGTGTTGGTGGCCACAGGTTTTCCAGTATTTGCCCAAATTGGAGTATCATAGTTGGAGCAGGAGGTCTGATCCAGTCGCTGTTGACGGAACTGGCAGCAGAACCGGTAGAAACAGGTGCCGCAACAGTACAAGAAGATACCAGCATTACAGTTAAAAGGGGGGTCCCATTGGCCCATGACATCATAGTAACCACGGCAACGGGTGCCAGTGGATGGGACGGTGTCCTCCTCCACCTCTCCAGGTGTGGTCAAAGTTGGAGGTCCATCTGATGTCACAGAGATCATCAAAGGGTCTACGGTATGATTGGCTGTTTGGATGTCCATGTCAGTTGAAGTCTCGTCCTGTGCTTTAGCAGCTCGTCCCAGAAAGGCAGTGAGAAGAAGATGTAGTAAAAAATAATTTCCAGCCATGCTTCAAATAAAAAAAAAACTGCAATTATTTACCTTATTTTAAGAGTGAAAAAGCATAAATGTTAAAAGCAAAACCATTTAAAACAGAGCTCGGCTAAATAATTTAGATATTTAAAAAACATTTTATTTAAAAAAAAATTGGATCGCTTTTTTGCATTTTCTAAAATGCATAATTCTACTTATTGAAGTTTTTATCTGTTTTTAAAAATGCAGTGGATGCTTAAATCAATAAGTACTTATTTAATAATTTTGTAATTGTTTGATTGTAACGAAATTACCTTTGTTTTTTGAGAGCTAAAATCTTCATTTGTTGTCTTACTCTGGTCCTGTCCAGAAATGCGTTATTTTGTTTTCCCCATGTAGTTTAAAACTTGTTCTTTGTGCTCTCCAGTAGTAAAACTTCCTTCCTCTTCACCTCTGTAAACAACCAGTCATAAAAAATTTGCCATAAAAATTCCTTTTTTAAGAATGATTGAACCCACAGACAGGTGTTTTAATCCACAGCGATCCACTCAGAGTGCTGCCTCTGAGCCTTGTGAAGGGCAACAGTTCAGAACTCAAATTAAAACTCCTCCCTTCTGTTCTCAGCACATCGGTGAGAGAGAGAGAGAGAGAGAGAGAGAGAGAGAGAGAGAGAGAGGGAGAGAGGGACAGAGAGTGAAAGGGGGGGCATATTTTCTATCCAGCTGCTGGTTATAGAGTAAAAGGGGAGGAGGCATTACACTACTGGAGGGCTTTTTCACAGACGTATGTGTCTGTTTATATGTACACTTACCAGCCGTTTTATTAGGTATGCCATGTTAGTAGGATTGGACCCAATTTGTCAAAAAAAAAACAACATTGCATAGTCTGATAGTGATGGAAACATTACTAAGAGCTGAATTAAAGCTGTCACAGTGTTTATGTCAATAAAATGTTACTAAACCATTCGAGTGTTTCAATAAAAATTGAGACTCATCAGACAAGGCAAAATTATTTCCAGTCTTATACTGTCTAATTGGGTTGATGCAGTGGCGCATTAGGTAGTGCTGTCACCTCACAGCAAAAAGGGTTGCTGGTTCGAGCCTCGGCTGGGTCAGTTGGCATTTCAGTGTGGAATTTGTTTGTTCTCCCCACGTTTGTGTAGGTTTCCTCCGGGTGAGGAAAAAAGACATTTGGTGTCATATATAGGTCAAATGGTTAAGCTAAATTGCTGTGTAAAATAATATGCTGGATAAGTTGGCGGTTCATTCCGCATGAAAAATACAAGTATTTTATCAAATTACTCACCCTCATGTTATTCCCATCCCATTTTGATGATCTTCGTAACATAAATTAAGATATTTTAAATTAAATCTGAGAGTTACCTTATCCTCCATAGACAGCAAAATTCCATAGGAGTTGAGAGTGCAGAAAATGACCAAAAACATTGTCAGTACATTCCATGTGACTTCAGGTTCAACCATAATCATACGAAGCTCCAACAACACTTTTGTGTGGCAAAGCATATGTAAAAATGAATGTTTGATTATATTTTCTCTTTCTTGTCAGTTAGTCAGGGTGTGCACTTACTACAGTTTGTTCATTCTCCTCTGACCCCTGACAGCAACAAAGCATCCTCACCCCAAAAAAACGAGAGGGTGCTCGCTGCAGAGCCATTTGAGGAGAGGTGAGCTCCAGAGAGGGGGAGCATGAGCTGTCGCTCCTCCTCCTGTAAGCTGTTTTAATGCGTACACCAACCCCACCCCTAACCCTACCCCCAGTGACATCACTCGTAGAAGAAGTGCAAAAAAGGTGGAGCTCAAGCTTAAGCTCCCCCTCTCTGGAGCTCACCTCTCCTCAAATGGCTCTGCAGTGAGCACCACTTGAAAAAAACTGATGTCTACTGGATATTTTCTCTTTTTCAGATTGTTCTCTGTAAACTCTACATGTGGTTGTGTGTGAAAATCCCTGCAGATCAACAGTTTCTGAAATACTTGGATTAAATTATGCCAAGTGTAAAGTATTTTAAACATCCTTATTCCACCACTCTGGTGCTTGATTTTTAACATTAGCAGATCAGTCAGGTCATCTGTATGTGTAAAGTTATCATCCGTATATACTATCATTTGGTCTAATTTTAACATTAATTAATTACCATTCAATTAAATATGGTTGGGTGTTTACATAACTAAAACTATAAAATTTAGTTTTTATCCATGATACAACTGTTAAAGGGATACTTCACCCAAACAAGATAATTTCCTGTTAATTTACTCAACCTCAGGTCATTCAAAACAAATTTAGGTACTTTTTTCCTCTTCAATGATATAATGAAAAACAGAAATCTTTTACATCTGGCATGGCCTGAGGGTGAGTAAATGCTACTTTTTGGATGAGCTATCCCTTTAAGTCATCCATAATTCTTTGTATGACACCGGTTCACATGACATGAAGACTGGAGTATTGACGTGTAAAAATACAACCTTGACATCACAAGTTAATGTTAGAAGGTAGAATAGAAAACTTTTTATTTTTTTAATAATTTTTTTTATCAAATAAAGTTGCACTTGTGAACTTACAAGAGGTTTTTTTAAAAAGCATTAAAGAATGACTGATCCCAAGAAGTTTTAGTTTGCTTCTCAGTAGCTATATGTTTACACACAACCAGTCCGTTATTAATGGAATGACAACTTAATCTGACAGAAAAAATCTTTAAGTAAACACTTTAATTAATCTAATTAGGCTTTATACAAATAAGGGAACAGGTGTTGTATCTTTTCTAATCCGATTGCAAAGAAATGTAAACACTTGATCGAACTGAAAACCAAAACTGGAAGGTCCCGTGCATGTATAAATGATGCGGAAACAGTGTGGTAACATTTTTGTTGAATGTCATATGATTAAAAAATTCTGGGAAGTGCAGCAGAACAATGACTCAACAGCCTGTTTTGGCCACTGGAAAATCCCACTTTTACTGCTTAAAATTTAGTGTGCTTGATGTGGTCTTCTAATTAGGACACTGTTACGCACCATCTAGGAATGGTGAACAACATGAAAGACAAGACCCCAAAAATTAAGTCAAAGATTTATTGGGGTTTGAATTCGGGAGCTGACAAGGCCAAAATAACATACAAAAATTCCTTTATGTTAAATCTCTAACTTACCTGATCAAAAAGAAATGAAAAGAAAGTACAATTCACTACCCTAACTACCTAACACCAAAAACAGAGGTCAAAAGGTTTTACAAAAAAAATGGCATCAAATTCCTTACTATCCCAATATATATATATATATATATATATATATATATATATATATATATATATATATATATATATATATATATATATATATACACATACACTATTTACAAACTATTTACAAAAACAGGCAACCATATTTGAAGGACAATTTAAAATCCAATGGATTTGGACAATCCAAAATCAAGGTCAAACAAGATGGTGGAACAAAGTATCATAAACAAAGCAAACACTAAAAAAAACAGTACTCACAAATCTCAATATTCCCAGTTGTAATCAAAAACTCTGAACTATACCACATACAAACGTTTCAAGAAACACAAGCAAGTGACCAAAAACAAGATGGCAGCCAAGGCAGTAGTGTCAAGAACAAGCAATCTGGAAGTGGCCAATTAGATGTGTTCTAAGCAAAACAGAAAAAAACAGACAAGACAAACAAGGGATTGTAACAGACACAAAATAGTTAAATAATAAATATATCTGCTATTTATTGTATATAGTGTATAATCCCAATATGGTGCTAAATGTCAAAAAGAAAAATATTATTTTTCTAAGGTAGGAGAAGTCACTGCGCTTCAGAAAATGAAATGCAATGATTGTGCAGTGGGTCTTGGAGGCGTGAGAACACTTTTTGGGCACAACCACACAGTTCTGGGGATAATAATACCGAAGCATTTTGATGATGGACTTCTAAGGCATTTTCGAATAACCAAAGCAACATTTTAGTTGTTTTCAATGTGGTCCAAAAGTCCACAAAATTAGGGTTGCGCTGGTCTGAAAATAGCAACAAATTGCTCCACACACGTCTTGAGCCTTATTGTGCAGGGTTGTAAGATTGGCAGGGGCGTCACTAGACCCCATTTACTGGGGCACGTGCCCCAGTAAAAATTGACTGTGCCCCAGTAAATGCTTTGAGATACTATTTACTTTATATTAAAGTGTATTTATTAAGAGTGTTAATCCCAGAATAAAGACAGTATTCTCTATGTGCAACCTAACCAACGCTAGTGAAAGAAATGTAGTTTAATCAAAAAGCAAACTGAATCTGAAATCTGTGCAGAAAAAACCATGCCTGCGCGTCTCACGCACCACTCCTGCTTGACTCTGACGTGCTGCTCTGCCATTCAGATGTTTATTATTGTTTTTGTTTTTTGATTGTTTTCCAGAATGCATAGGCCTTGCAGCAGATGATGATGCTTTTCATAACAAGATTGACAAAAATAAATAAATTGTTTATTTTAAAATTCCTATCTGTTTCTATATAGATTTATTTATAATGTAGTATATTTTGTTTGTTTATTAAATAGCTGTAGTGCAACATTTGGATGTACCTTCTTTCTGCTCCAAGTATGTAAATATATCCCTTTTATTAATACAGTATAAATCTCTGCTAACATTTTGTTTAAATGTCATATACTGCTAATACTTAGTGTAAATAGCATCTACTATCTATTAACGCTTAAGTAAACTGTAAACAGCATTTTCTGTTTATTTATATGTAGTGTAAATACAATTTTTTAACTAAATGTCATAAACCAAATAATACATTTGAGTTTATCAAGTCCTTTAGTGCAAACAGTGTATGATACATTTTTAGTGTAAATAACATACTTTCAGTAACACTGCAATAGCATCTACCTTCTATAAACACTAAAAATGTAAATGGCATAAACTTTCTATAAGCACTGAGTGCAAATAGCATCTACCACTTTTGTTGCTATATTGTGTAGTATCTGATGCTATTAGTACTTAGTGTAAATAGCATCTCTTGCTATTTGCGCTTAGTGTAAAAAGCATCTCTATATATATATTCTAGTTTGTGTATTATGTTACCTAGTATTCTGTTTATAATCGTAGAAGGCCAGTTGTTATGTTGTCAGGTTGAATAGATAAAATGTTTTTTTGTATCTTAATTTGTTTACCGCTATCTTGTTTAACATTTGCAGGTTGTTATTTGTTTTATTTTCAGACAAGATGATCTGTTATAATGTATTTGTATGCTGTCAGCTTTAACACATATTCCATATTACTGTTGTATTATTTATTTGTAATTTATGCTGTTGGCCTGTTCAACATTTGCAGCTTTTCATTGTTATTTGTTTTATTTACAGTTTTACTCATTTTTACCACATGTATCTGTTATAATGAGTTTATAGATTGTCATCTTGTAGAGTATTTATATATAGCTGTGAAATATTATTTGTTATTGTTGTGCAAAAACCAGCATCGATGGACGTCCTTCCAAGATAAAGGGGGTGGTGTTTGGTAAAGATCAGTGGTTCTCAAACTTTTTCACCTCAGAAAGAATTTGTCTACCTAATAACCACCTAATGA